CCTCACACGTTTCGTGGCCCCATAGGGAGCTCCGCCGAAGGCCCCAGCGGCAGCGCTCGCATGGCACCACCGCACCCATGTCGGCACACCCTTCACACGTTTCGCGGCCCCCTCGGGAGCGCCACCGAAGGCCCCAGTGGCGGTGTCCACGTGCGTCCCGCAAAAATTTCGGCCCACCCCTCACACGTTTCGCGGCCACATAGGGGGCTCCACCGAAGGCCCCAGTGGCAAGGTTCGCATGGTGACCCCGGCCCAATTCGGCACACCCCGCACGAAAATCGTGGCCCCATAAGGAGCTCCACCGAAAGCGGTACCCACAACGCGGTACTCACACTTGCATATGATTTGGTTTTCGTCAGGGTAATTGTATTTGTGGGCTCAAACTTGACCCCCTTATGTAAACGCTGGGAGGGTGGGGTGGCGGTGGTGATGGTGGGGGGGGGGGGGGGGATGCTATTTGTTATGATTTCCAGATATCGCTGGCGTTCGATGCTTTTGTTGTGTATTTTGATGGTTGTGTTTTTTTTTGATTGGGTTTTGTTGTTTGTGGGTTTTTTTTTTGTATTTTTTTAATTGTTTTTTTAATGTTCAGCTCAGTTTGCGTTGTTTAAAAGGTTATCATGCGTTTTTGATGTGTTTTTGTGTTTTTGTTGTTTTTTCAAAGTTTTGGGTGTTTTTTTCCATTTGTTTTGGAGCTGCTCATGCTTTTTTCAAGGAATTCTGGTATTTTCATGTTTGTTTTTTTTCAAGTTTTCTGTGGTTTTCAATTGTTCTTGTGTTTTTTTTCGAAGCTTTTCATGGAATTCTGTTAATTTTCTAACTTTTTATGTTTTCCTACGCTTTTCATTAGTTTTGCCAAGCTTCCCCAAGAACTTTGATCATTTTGCATTTTTCAAGTTTTTATTGTATGTTTCAATAGTTTCTGCGTTTTTCAAAGCTTTTCAAAGACTTTTTGTTTTGTTTTGTAGTTTGTCATGGTTTTCTATGTTTTTCAATGGTTTTTGTAGCTTTTCAATGAAATTTAATTGTTTTTGATGTTTTTAAGCTTTTTCTATGTTTTTAAGGGTTTTTGCGTTTTTTCCATGTTTTTCATAGAACTTTACTTTTTTTTTCTGTTTTTGTATATGTTTTTTCTGCCTTTCTGCAACAAAATAGCATTTTTCATGTGTTTTTTTATTTTTGGTCGGTGGGTGGTCGGTGGAGGTCGGTGGGTGGTAGGTGGGTGGTCGGTGGAGGTCGGTGGGTGGTCGGTGGAGGTCGGTGGGTGGTCGGTGGAGGTCGGTGGGTGGTCGGTGGAGGTCGGTGGGCGGCCGATTTCGTGAGCAACACTAAAAAAACACATTTTTGTTTCAAAAACACTCAAAAAAACATGAAAACATACAAAAAAAAACATATAAAAACACAGAAAATCCTGAAAAAAATCAAAAATATTTAAAATTTCCTTAAAACGTTTGAAAAACACAGAATTATTGAAAAACACAAAAAAAACTGAAAACATCAAAAAAATATGGAATTTCTCAAAAAAAAAAAAAAAAAAAAAAAAACATGGAAAAAACAACAAACCATGAACATATTAAAAAAAGGTGTTGGAACGCTTGAAAACAACAAAAAATTATTGAAAACACAAAAAATAGAAAGCACAAAAAAACAACAAATTTCCTCGACACACTTGGGAGCAACACAGAAATTATGGGAACACGCAGAAAAACGTTAAAGAAAGTCAGAAAAAACAATTTTCCTTGACACGCCAAACAACACCACAAAAAAAACAACTGAGAAACACAGCAAAACCAAAAAAAAACAAAGCAACAACTAAGAAATCTTATTTTTAGCTGAAACAATATAAACCACACACAACTACAAGCACACGCCACATTGCTGGGGAAAAATACAAGAATACACGAACGCGTAAAACAAAACGCAGCTTGTTCGGAAAAGAACAGCAAAACCACAATATTTACAAACATAACAGCTTTTCATTGAACAACAAAGGAAACAAACAACAAAAAAACAGCAAGATCATAAACCATGGCGTTCCCGGGTTTGCTGGGCTGCTGCTGTTTTTCTTGCAACACGGCGGTGTCCATGTAATCCTTGTGATATCATTGACAAAGCGCACGCGGACCTGCGGTTGTGGCGCAGAACACGCTGCGCACGCGCCACCCCCCCCCACCACCCCACCACCACCACCACCATCGCGCACGAACGCGCGCACACGCGCACCCACGCACACGCACACACACACACACACGAACGCGCACGAACGCACGCACGCACACACACACACACACACACACACGCACACGCACACACACACACACACACACACACACACACACACACACACACACACACACACGCACTCACACACGCACGCACCACGCACACAGCACGGCACCGCCGCACCACTTTCGGCACACCCCTCACGAGGACCGCGGCCCCATCGGGAGCTCCACCGCAGGCCCCAGTGACAGGGTCGCACGGCGCCGCGGCGCCAATTTCGGCACCGAGGACCACCCCGCATGTCGATTTCGGCCCACCCCTCACACGTTTCGTGGCCCCATAGGGAGCTCCACCGAAGGCCCAAGTGGCTGCGCTCGCATGGCACCACCGCGCCCGTTTCGGCACACCCCTCGCGCGTCTCGTGGCCCCATAGGGAGCTCCACCGAGGGCCCAAATGGCTGCGCTCGCATGGCATCGCCGCACCCGTTTCGGCACACACCTCACACGTTTCGTGGCCCCATAGGGATCCCCACCGAAGGCCCAAGTGGTTGCTCTCGCATGGCGCCGCCGCACCCATTTCGGCACACCCCTCACAAAGTTCGTGGCCCTATAGGGAGCCCCACCGAAGGCCCAAGTGGCTGCGCCCGCATGGCACCACCGCACCCACTTCCGCCCACCCCTCACACGGTTCGAGAGCCCCATATGGGGGCCCCACCGAAGGCCCAAGTGGCTGCGCTCGCATGGCACCACCGCGCCCACTTCGGCACACCCCTCACACGCCTCGTGGCCCCATAGGGAGCTCCACCGAAGGCCCAAGTGGCTGCGCTCGCATGGCACATGGCACCACCGCGCCGATTTCGGCACACCCCTCACACGTTTCGTGGCCCCATAGGGTGTCACACCGAAGGCCCAAGTGGCTGCGCTCGCATGGCACCGCCGCGCCCCCTCCGGCCCACCCCTCACACGGTTCGTGGCCCCATGGGGAGCCCCACCGAAGGCCCAAGTGGTTGCGCTCGCATGGCACCACCGCGCCCATTTCGGCACACCCCTCACACGTTTCGTGTCCCCATAGGGAGCTCCACCGGAGGCAAAAGTGGCTGCGCTCGCATGGCACCACCGCGCACCCTCCGGCACACCCCTCACACGGTTCGTGGCACCAAAGGGAGCTCCACCGAAGGGCCAAGTGGCTGCGCTCGCATGGCACCACGGCACTCATTTCGGCCCACCCCTCATACGGTTCGTGGCCCCATAGGGAGCTCCACCGAAGGCCCCAGTGGCTGCGCTCGCATGGCACCACCGCGCCCATTTCGGCACACCCCTCACACGTTTCGTGGCCCCAGAGGGAGCTCCACCGAAGGGCCAAGTGGCTGCGCTCGCATGGCGCCACCGCACCCATTTCGGCCCACCCCTTACACGCCTCGTGGCCCCATAGGGAGCTCCACCGAAGGCCCAACTGGCTGCGCTCGCATGGCACCACCGCGCACATTTCGGCACGCCCCTCACACGTTTCGTGGCCCCATAGGGAGCCCCGCCGAAGGCCCCAGTGGCTGCGCCCGCATGGCACCACCGCACCCACTTCGGCACACCCCTCACACGGTTCGTGGCACCATAGGGTGTCCCACCGAAGACCCAAGTGGTTGCGCTCGCATGGCACCACCGCGCCCATTTCGGCACACCCCTCACACGGTTCGTGGCGCCATGGGGAGCTCCATCGAAGGCCCAAGTGGCTGCGCTCGCATGGCACCACCGCGCCCACTTCGGCACACCCCTCACACGCTTCGTGGCCCCATAGGGAGCTCCATCGAAGGCTCCTGGGGCTGCGCTCGCCTAGCACCACCGCGCCCATTTCGGCACACCCCTCACACGTTTCGTGGCGCCACACGGACTGCGACGGAGCTCCACCGAAGGCCCCAGCGGAAGCGCTGGCAGGGCACCGCCGCGCAAATTTCGGCAGACCCCATCGCGCGTTTCGTGACCCCATAAGGAGCTCCACCGAGGGCCCCAGCGGCAACGATCGCATGGCACCACCGCACCAATGTCGGCACACCCCTCACACGTTTCGTGGCCCCATATTGGAGCTCCACCGAAGGCCCCAGTTCGCATGGCGGCCCCGCCCCATGTCGGCGCACCCCGCACGAAGGTCGTGGCTCCATAAGGAGCTTCACCGAAAGCGGTACCCACAACGCGGTACTCATAACTGCATATGGTTGGGGTTTCCGCCAGGCTATTTTTTCCTCCCTCTTGCGCTCTTGCGCTCCTCAGCAGTCGTCCCGATAACGCAAGACGCCCGCCCGTAGGGTGTTATTTGGCAATGCAAATTGCACCCCTGAGGCTGGAAAAGAAGAACAGAAAGTCATGGGCGCCTGAGGGGGACATTGGCTTGCTTGGCGTCGGCGCTGCAAAATGCATGGCGGGAACGGGACGCGGCGCCCGCCGCGTATACTGAAAACGTTATCCTACTTGGGGTCGCGCCGCATTCATTTGTTATTCTGCGGGGTAGCATGTTCTAGTCTCGGCGGAGACGGGCGAGGGCGCCGCGGAAAGCGCCGTGTCGATTTGCCGAAGTCGGCGGGCAAGTTGGGCGTGTAGAGGCCGCGTTGGCCCCGACATAATGCACCGCTTGAGGTGTAGCTTCGGAAAAACGGCAAGTGTAACTCCCAAACCTGGAATTTTAGCACACGTGCTTCAGTCATGCGATCAGTTTTGGCTCAAGCAGTCCTTCGGCTTTTCCGATTGTGCTGATTCGAGACGACAGGTCTATGGTGCAGTGATATGGGATGGAGTCTCTGGAACATGTTGCGAAGCGCGCGAGGCAGCGCAGGGGCGGAACCTTCAGCTACCATGAGGCGGCCCAATGTTTGAAACAAGGGCCATGTACTTTGGACGAGTACGCCGGGTGGCAGTCCTCCACCCTGTCAGAGATCTTGGGCACCGGTGATCCTGGCGCAGCGCGTCGGGCCAGGATTGGTTCCTTGCTTTCTGCGGGTTTAGTCTTTCACTCTGATTGCACTGGACGTTGCACCGTGGAGACCATGCTGCTCATGCTGGGGAGATCCTTACAGAAGTGCGGCGTGGAACTTCGAGAGGATTGGCTCGCCCTCTGGAGGGGCTGCGACGTCCTGGCGGCGTCGCGGGAGGCCATGATGAGCGCGAGCCCCGGACCAATTCACGTGTTCAAGTCCGTGTGGGACTACATCCCGGCAGAGCACTTGGCGAAGTTGCGCAGTAAGAAGGTTGCAGAGGACGCTTCCAATGCAGATAAGGCTGCAGCGCATGTAGACATGCGCCGGTATCTCAAGAAGCACGGTCGCGACATCTTCAAGCCGACAGCTACCTGTGGTCAATGTTTGAAACATCCAGGGAAGAATTGCAACATCTCTTTCCAAAACCCAGATGGCATCCGTCCTTGCGAGCGCCCGCTGCGAGTGTGTATCCAGGGATTCCCGTGCTTGCCCTGGACGCAGCTTGGGAGTAAACTCGGCGACGCACATGACATCATCCCAGTTGCCGACGTGTGCGTGCAGATGCAGGCTGCTTCCAACTTCGATCTTCTTGGTGTCGAAAACTCAGAACATTACCCAGTGCAGCACTTCATGGATGAGTTGCCAGAGAAGTACGCGGTGAGGGCCATATCCTTCGGCCCTGAGGACACTGTCCCATTAGGTCGAGAACCTTGGGCTAGAGTGTTACGGAGAGACTTGGATGTTAGATGTTATTTCTAAAAGGGGTATTGACATAACATGCCCAACATAGATTAGACATTCCCTACGTAATCTAGAAGTGGCCGACCTCAAGTATACATGCCCAGCATGAAGTAGAACATACGACATCAAAATAGAAATGCGCAGCATGATCCAGAAGCGCCAACCATAAAACAATGCCAAACGTAAAGCACACATTCCCGAGAGAAAGACCAAGTAAAACACGAATACCCAACACGCGCTAGTACACGCACTCAGTATCTAATGGCTTTCAGCCCATGCCGCCACCGTGCCTGAATCGCGCGTCAGAGGCCTCTTGGATGCTCGTTGGGATCTCGTGAGGGGGGCCCCAAGCTTTTAGCCATCGTGTGAACATTGCAGCTTACTTTGCGGTTGCGCCCCTCAGGACGTTGGATTTCCAGCGCGGCGGAGGAGGCGATTGATAGCTGCACTGAACCAGGATACCCTCATCTGGATCGGCCCGGCAACGGCCCATGAGACCGAAATGGAGTTCCTTTCTCTGCTTGCCCGATCTGTGCAACTCGAAGCCGATGACTTCTTAATCGACAGCCGCTCGGAGCGCATGAAGATTTTGAGGCAGTTCGCAAAAGCCAGAGGAATGTACGGAGATGACGACGCACTGGAGGCGTTGCCTCTGGACGCCTTGTTGCCTCCAGGCCAGGTGGCCATCTTGCAACGCTACCGGGAGATTTACAGATCGGAGGCGCACATGGTCGGCGCCCGCGGGAGTTTCGTCGCGGACATTTCTCAGGACCCCGACGCGCGCATTCGATGTGGCGCGTGGTTTCCGGCCATAGCCCGAGGGCCAATCCTTGTATCTATTTCAGCAGGCGACAAAGTGTTCACAAACAGGGAGATCGATTTCGCAATGGGTTTCCCTTCCTTCGAATATCCATCGAACAAGCACCTCTTCGAGATCTGTCCAGACGTCTCCAACTTGGAGCGCACGGCGTACACAAAACTCATGGGCAATGGTATGCATATGGCTTCCATGATGCTTTTCTGGGCATACATATTGGCGAATTGCGTTCGGCGCGACTCCGTGGAAGCTTGGCGGCCCGAGCTACCATGGAAGGCTGCGGATAGTCGCCCGCCCGAAAAACGTGACGCAGACCCCAATGCCAGTTGATTGATCCCGTGTTAGCGAGATGGCCGCTGCTCCGCGAAGGCGGCGCCCGGTCTTCATGAGGCCTGAAGCGCAGATCTTTCATGCGGAGATGCTTAAAACATCAAGCACAGCCCACAGTCCGCAGCATACGCCCCAAAGCAGGCTCATCACCTTGCACATCAAATCTGCAGACGTAGCAGCACCATCATCGTAACACTCAGGAAACATAATCACTCGCACGCACGCACACCAACTATATCCATAAGTATCCAACTGCCTGCGGCAAGTCCCGCCGCCGTGCCAGCCAAGCACTTTGGGTGGCGACTGTTCCACGCTTGCTGTTGCTTGATTTTTTTCTTTGCCGGGCGCGCGCGGCACAGGATTTCTGTGGGCACCTCAAGGCTCGGCTTGCACTGAGATGGCACTGCTTGACGACGCTTGAAATGTGGGTACGTTTGCTGTTGCTTGAAATGTGGGTACGTTTGCTGCGGCTTGAGCCCTTGAGCCCTTGAGCCAAATGGCTTGAGCCAACATGGCTACGGTGATGGTGATGGTGATGGTGATCGTGATGATGATGATGATGATGATGCTGATGACGATTGCGATGGCGACGACGACGATGACGATGAGGAAGGGCTGTTTGGGGCTCCTGTGGGGAGCCCCTTGGGGACTTCTCGGGCCGTTTTGAGGCCTCTTGGGCCGTCTTGGGGCTCTCTTGGGCAGTCTTGGGGCCCTCTTGGCCGTCAGAGGGGGTCTCTTGGGTCCGTCGTGGAGCCGTCGAGCGGCCTTCTCACGCCGTCTTGGGGCCCGAGCGGGAGTGAGGACGAGGGGAAAAGGGACGTAACGGGCGACACGCGCGTGTCACCCGTTACGGCGTGGAAGCGGCCCTCCTGGGGGCCGTCCTGGGGGGGCTCTCTCACAGCGTGATCCGTCTTTTCGTAAAGCACTGTGGGCGCAGCCTCCTGGTCGCAAAATGCGTCTCGATAGGAACTGGGTTCTCGGCTCCTAAAGTGACTTTGTTCGTATTCGTACACGAACCCGTATTTGGCGTCACCTTGCATGCCGGCCCATCCGCTATCGCGCGGCTGATGGGTTGGCGCTCCGCATAAGTGTAAGCGCTGTTTGGGGGAATTGTGCTTGACGAAGCTGTGGGGCAGGCTGGCCCGCTCAGATCCTGGTTTGGGCAACGTCACAACAGGCTCTTTGCATGAAGTCCCGCGACCAACGTCACCCCCAGGGGCGCGAAGATAATTGCGCTTCGCGCTTCGCGGCCTGGGCTGGAGAGTTGCCCTTATCCCAGGCGGCCCCGGGAGGGCGCGATGCGCGGGGTTAGTTGGGCGACCTAGATCACCAATTCAACGACAACTAACAGTGTGCAATCGGTTTGGCTCAAGCTCAAGGGAAGTATTCTCAAGACGCTGCGCGCGATCTGTCGCGCAACATCTCTGCGCGCTCACCTTTCTGCACCTTGTTGGCGTCTTGGGCCATGCCAGGCGAGGGTCCCGACGCCGGGGAGGTTGCCGACGCCAACCTCGACGGCAAGACGTCCAACGACGGGCAGGGTTCCCACGGCGACGAGGAGCTCGACGCCGGGAAGGCCAAGGCGGAGCCCATCGCGGCGTTGCCCGAGATGCCCTCAATGCCCTTCGACTTCTCTGCCGAGGTGCGCAGGCAGGTCGGCCAATGCAGTGACGAGGACAAGGGCTTAAAACGTGGAGCTGGAGATGCTGAAGACGGCCAAGACAAAGGCCCTAGGAAAAAGAAAGGGAAGGTGCGCGAGGTGCGCGCTGATGGTCGAGAGTGCGAGATCCCCTCCTGCTCGCTCGGGGCCGCCGCCAATGGTAAGTTCTGCTGGAGTCACAAGAGGGCGAAAGACAACCTCTACAAGCACGCCGTGAAGGGCGAGAAGAAAAACCTTGAGTGTTGGCAAAATTACGCGCAGATCTTCGGGGAGGGCAGGGGCGGCCCGCCGGACGTGCAGCTGGCGCACCAGGCGTTGGAGGATTACGTCGCGGAGTTCCCAGAAGATGAGAGCGGTGATGAACACCAATCTGGCAAGAAGGCGGTTCGCGGGACCCTGGACCTCAGCCGGTACACGCACGCCAAGGGCAGCCGCAAGTCCAACGACGACTTTTCAAAATGGCCGAAGATGGATTTGGAGATTTTCACTGGCAAGATGCGCGCCTATCGGCAGTGGACGCCCCAGAAGTGCAAGGATGAGTTCGCGGGATTGATTGCCACGTACGGCATTTGCGACAGCAAGGGCTATGGTGCCGACAATCGCCGCGTCAAGGTCCCGCCGGAGATGTGCGGGGAGGATGGCGAGGAGGAGAGGATTGGCCTGTACGAGGATCGCTGCCTGGAGACTTCGATGAAGCAACAGAAGATGTCACAAGAGGCAAAAGACGCGTGGTATTCGCAGACGCGCACTGGCCTGGATGCCAACCTGAGGCTGACCCCTGACGCGAAGTCCAAGCTACAGGCAAGCTTGTCATCTTCGTCGGTAGCGGCGGAGTCCAACCCCAGCAAGGTACTCGACAGCATAATGTCGGCAGCTGTGTCGGCCTCGTCTGCTGATGAAGGCGGTGCTGAAGGCACTGCTGCCAGCCTTCGCGACTCCAGCAAAAGTCACCCAGGCCCGCAGGGGAAAAGCATGGCCGGCTCCGATCGGGCGAAGCTCTGGGGCAAAGTACGGACGGATATGCTAAATGCAAAGCCCAAGCTGTTGAAGGAGATCAAGGATGCCACGATTGCACTTCGCCAGAGCGACCCGTCCAACCACGGACCGATCTTCATTGATGGAGTGAGGGAGCGGTGCGCGGTGGCATGCCGCTTTCTCGGCGTTTCTTGCGTCTGCGAGGAGAAGACCGTTCATGGAGTGAAAAGCCAGGAGACAGTTCCCACTGTGACCATCGAACCCATGGCAGAGTTTGCGCACAAGACGCTGGTGAAGCAGGAGGGCGAGTCGAGGGAGACGTGGCAGAGCCGGCAAAATGACGAGCACTTGGAAAAGGCTAACAAGCACGACGTCTACCTTCAAGATCTCCTGGACTCGATGAAGGTGCTGCCGATGGAGTCCAAGAATATCATGTCGTCCAGCAAGCAGGAACTCTTTCACAACTCGATTACAACGATGACGACGGCTGAGGTTCGGCATGATCAGATTTACACGCGAGTCCCATGCGATTCCCGGGCCGTTCAAACAACCACCCTGCCCTGAACGCGCCGAACTCCATTCAAATGTTCGTCTTCGGCGACGCAGCTGAATCCATATTTTTTGTTCGGCGGGTTTGGTTGGCAGGGTGTTGTTTTGAATGGTTCGCGTGCGCGGGACATCGCGCAAGTCTGCCTGTGCCCAGGCGCTGGAGGAAGCCAACTGCAAGTGGGACGAACAGCAGCATCTCGTAAGCCAGCTGGTCGCCAGCCTGAAGCAGGCCACGAGGGAGCTCAACTCGGAGATAAAGAAGGCCACGACGCGGTTGAGGAAGGAGCTCGAGCGACAACAGAAGGAAATTCAGGATGCAGAGCTAGCTCGGAAAAAACAGGTTGAGCTTGAGACGAAGAAGAAGCTGACGCATGAAAAGCATCTCGAAGCATTCGGCCTCAACTTCGAGTCGCACTCCAAGGTGCAGGTCTTCGCGTCAGACGCGGCCTGGAGCGCTGAGGGTGATAAACACTATGCGAGGCCGTGGGCTGTCGAATCGTCGGATGCGGTTAAGGCTGCGTTCGCGGAGCCGGAGGGTGAGCAGAAGGCCAAGAACGTGTTGCATAAGACGATGGGGTTATGGGCCGCCTCTTACCCCAAGAACGCCATGTACAAGCAGCACGACGTTGTAATGAGCCCCCTCACTGAATCTATGGGAGTCTTGCAGTTGCATCGGGAACACGAACTCTTCGCGCCTACGCAGCGCCGCATCCAGTCGAGCTTGCCCGTCCTTCTTCCCCACCTGCGCACGGTCAAGGTGTTTGCCGAGGGCGAGACTTACACCAACTGCGACTTCGAGACGAACTTCTTGGGGACATTGCGTATCCAGGTGGAAGGTACAACCAAGATCGCCCTCGTGCGCGCGGGTCCTTTCATCGAAGTGGTGAAGGACATCAAAAAGAAGCCGGTAGGGCAGGTGGACTTGGCAGATGTTTCGCAGGTGCTCATGGGCGTATCTCAGGCCGACCTGGACGCCTGCCACCAGAAGGGCGTGGACATTCAGCGTATCGACCTCGGCCCGAACAGCGTGCTCTACATTCCGCCCGGATGGCTCGTACTGCAGGCCACGGCCAATCAGGCTGCGGTGACTTGCATCAAGCGCTGGTGCTTGGTGCAGGAGGAACTCCGCGAGACCGTCGAAACGTTGAAATCCATTGGCAAGCTAGGCATGAAGGTGTCCGTGCGCGAGGCCTTGAAGGCGGTGACCGACCTCGTCGAGTCCAAGCTTAGCACAGCGTGAGAGATGCGGGTGCGCGCCAAGCGCACCTTTTTGTAGACGGGGAGTCTGGGAGACTCACGGCCGACGCATTGACATGATGATGATGATGATGATGATGATGATGATGATGATGATGATGATGATGATGATGATGATGATGATGATGATGATGATGATGATGATGATGATGATGATGATTAATGATGATGACGATGATGATGGCGATATTAAGTTGGATAACGGTAACCCCGATTGACCAGAGGCCCGAGGGCCCCAGGATGGGCCCAAGAACGGCCCAAGGAAGCAGCGCAAGTTTGCCTCAGGAGGCCAACACCTAGGATAAACCATTGTTTTTACTTGCCTTCTCGCCGAGGCCATCTTGGGCGCTCGCCCTAACCCCTCGCGAGATCCCCCGGCCAGACCCAGGGGGAGGGGGCATGGGGAGAGGGTAAGTCCCTCCCCTAAGGGGGGGAAGGGGGATGATGGAACAGGGAACGCGCTCAACCACCTCAGCCAAAGATAAATATGTGATCGTGGACTGGTTTGCCAGTCTTGAGTCTCCGGTGTGCCGCAGGACGCGTGGCGCAGCCCAGCGTTGAGTTGGGGAGATTGCCTGGCGGGATCTGAATATATGTGTCTACTCCATCCCGTTCCTCCCCCGTCCCGCCTTCCCCTATCCCGTTATCCTTCCTTCATCCTTTCTCCCGCCTCTCAACTCTCTCCTCCTTCTTCAGCTCTTTTTTCGCCGACGGCAGTGACGGCGACGACGACGGCGGCGTGGGCGGCGGCAACGACGACGATGACGATGACAATGGACGACGACCTCGACCGACAACCGATGACGAATGACCGACGACACCGAGGACACCGACGACGACGACGACCGAGCACGCCGACGTCGGCGTCGTCGGTCGTCGGCCGTGGGTCGTCGGTCGCCCGTCGTCGGACGTCGGTCGTCGGTCGTCCGTCGTCGTCGTCGTCGCGGCCGGCGGGGCCCGGCCAGCGGGTGGGCCAGAGCCCGCTGACGGGCCAGGCGAGCCAGGGGCCCGGCCCGGACTGGAGGGTGGCGCCGCCCTTTCTGACCCTCACTGCTTCCCTTCTCTGCTGTCTCCTCCTCTTGCTCCTCTCCCACTCGGAAATCATATAGAGGGAGAGTGGGCAAGGGGCGAAAGCCTGAGGCAGAACATCCACTCTGATCGGGAGTAGGGATTTTACACGCCTCCTCCATAAAACGACTGGGCAAGGGCCAAGGGACGGGCAGTCGGAGGAGAAAGAAGGATGAACACATCTTTTGACGTTTTGGGGTCGCCAGTTTCGTGGTTTCGGCGGCTTCGGGCCCAGAAGGGGCTCAGACTAGCGCGTCCCGTCCTGTTGCGGGCTTTACCAGTCCAACCGTCGCTTAGACGAGGACCTTCCCGCCTCTCCAGCCCCCAGCACAGTGCTCATCCCCCCCTCCTTGCTCGACGACAGATCCTGCAAAAGCAACGAGACGCCAGCTACAATTGCGACGGTTGCACCAACGCGGGGATGCAAGGCACAGCCGGGACCTGGGAAGACGACGACACGCGTAAGCTGCTGGCACAGAACCGCGCCCAGGCCTACACGCAGGGACGGAACTGCAGGTGGCTCTGCGAGCTGTGCTGGGTCAAGTCCCTGGAAAAGAAAGGTGTTGAGGTGCCCATCGCTAAGCGCGCGGACGGCGGCGCCAAGAGGACCATGCAGCAGCGCCTGCAGGAGCACAAGCGCAAACTGGAAGAGGCTCGCTTTCACAAGAAGGCCCGGGCCCTCCCCCCCACCTGGCCAGCCTACCGATCGGGCACGGGCGACCGAACAACGCGCCAACCCCTTCTATCTTGAAGGACCTCGTCACGTGCACACCGCCTGCTTTCCAGCCACCAAGCGTCGGCACCACACTCCCACCCCACAGACTGGCCGATGTCAGGTTCGGGTCAAACTCGCACCGTACAAGCCTGTACACAGCCATGTGCGACACATGCCCCCCTGGTTATCCGCTGCTTGTCTGGGAAGCCGGTCGCCCAGCTCTCGGTTGTTTCATGTGGCGCCCCGAGCCAGGGGCACCGTGCAACAAGCAGACAGGCCTGCCACCGTGGGAGATGATGCCAAACCTCTGGATCAGGCAGCAGTGGAATGCGGAGTGGGCCTGCAGAAGGTGCCTCATCCACATTTGGAATGTCGCGCCAGGCGTACTTGACCACATCCTTGACCAACACTCGTCCGAGGTATACCCTACTGTCCCCACCATTCGGCAGACTACATCGGAGGTGCCAGAAGACAGCTACAACTACGACATGTGCGCACACCTCTCCACAACAGGAATCAGCGCGACGGTGGACGATGCTTTCACACGGCCCACACCCCGCGAGGACCGCCCGTCACCACATGACACGGAGATCGACAACCAAGACGGCCAAACGGGAGTAAACGGCAGGGCCTCCAGCAGCAACAGCCCCTCTTTCCCCGAACTGCCGCCACCCCTGTGCCCCTACTTGCCCACGCTGTCCACCCTCCGTCTTGAAGGGGTGGAGTCAGACGGCCCGGCCCATGCCCTGGTCAAGTACACGATTGAGTGGAGCCACACAATCTACACCCTATGGGCCGCCTACGCACAGCAACAAGGAGAGAACATCAAAGGGGACATAACCGACGAATCGGGGTGGCCGACTGAGCTGCTGCCCCCCTTCTTGGACACGGCGCACGGAGAAGACATCCCAGAGAGCGGCCACCCCCCGCGCGTCCCATGGGACGGACAACGCGCAGCGGCAGCCAGGGTCGTCTCACACCTGGTGGGTGGTAGCCAGAAATATAAAGAAGACTGGGAAAGCTATGCGGACAGCCTCTCCAACCAGAAGGGGCAGGGCCCCTCCCGACAGCCGCTCCACATCCTCACGGCGTTCCTAACCAGGCTAGAAGGCTCCGACTTGACCAGGGGAACCATCGACCACCCCGCCGCCCCGCCCCTGGAGCCGGCCGCTAGCAGCGCAGACAGAGTTGGATCACCAGCTGCGAGCTGGCTCAACAGGTCAAGCAAGAAGGAACCTCCCGAAGCCGCTGAGACCGACCGGCCCTCTGCAACCCAGGAGGAGGAGCAAACCCCACCGGGGCACTGCATAGGCGAAGGCGACGTGGAAGGGGTCGATTGGGGTGAAGAAGCGGGCAGGAAATCCGAGACTGACGCCCACGCGCGATCTAGCCCGAAGGACACCTCCGCAGACTCCGGCTCTCAGGTCAGCCCCACCCACCCCGACGACGACCTAAGTGACACAGCTCCTCCCGTGGATGACAAGGTGACCCAGGACCACCCACAGCTCTGGACAAAACCCCCCAACAGGACCGACGCGGAAGTCTGGTCTCCATACGAGCAGGCTGCCGCCAGGGGGACAGTCAGAGATAGGTACGCCCCAGGCGACCTTCGCAGCAGGGATGATCGGACCTGGAATCTGAACGCCGCACGGGACAACAGGTCTCTAAGATATACGGGGGGCGAAGGTGGCCGACAACCACCCGCGGTCGATGAGGCCAGGGCCAGAGAACGCTCTGCCACCCCGCCCCCACGCGACTTCTCCCGACCAGCGCGCGCCACCCAGGGCTCCTGGTCCGACACGCGGAGAACGCTACCGCCCGCAGCACACCCTGACGATCCCATGGGAAACATCTCCATGCACATGTGTACAGTTGACAAAACGGACGTCTCAAGGGACGAAATGACACCAGACAAGATCTCACGGCTGCAGAAGACGCTGGGAGGTGCGTTTAACGGAGTCTGGGGTGCCTGGGTCAAGAGGGCAGCGGCCAGGCAAGGGAGCCACTACATCAAGTTTGATCCCAAGCTCAACTCCGCACAACAGCGCAACGATTTCCTCCAGGCATGGAGCAAAGCGGAATTTAACGCCTATAAGATGGATAGAGAGCACAAGCTCCATGTTGACTGGTCGAGCGCCCAGGAGAGGCACCGCAAACTCATGCAACGCGACGCCAGACCGCACACAGCCCGCGGGACCGATAGCAGCGGCTGCCCACCCCCATGGACCACGGCGGGCAAGGGGGCGGAACGGGCGGCCCCGCCAGACCAGTGGACCGGGGGCTCAGCTCAGGCCCGTCGCGGCATGGATGGCAGTCCTGGGACGCTTGGAGGCGCCAAGGGGCGCCATGGACCGACACGGACTGGAAGGCGAAGGGCAAGCGTTGCTCCCCCAGAGGAGAGCACCCGCACGCTGATAAGCGTCCGCGAGGTTGGGGCTCCCGACCCAGATGAAGGGGGCGCAGCGAGGACCCGCGCGGGTCTGGCCCCCGCAGCGCGAATAGGGCCGCAACGGTCACCGCCACGGCCCACCAACCGACGTGCTGCCTGCCGCGCGCAGCACACAATACCTCGCTCCTCCCTGACCGGCACTCGCCGCACCCCCCCCCCTCAGTCGGTTTCACCCACAGCGCGCGGCCTATGCCGCAATACCCGTGCTACCTCCTATGGGGCGGAGGCGCGCCAATACCCTTGCGCTGCGCTTTTGGACAGCCCACGCTGGACTCGTGGACCTTATAGCACCCGGCCTCGGCCAGCGCGCGCTACCCTCGCGGGGGCGGGGGGCGCCAATGAGTTCGCACATAGACAGCCCACGCTGGAGACGTGGACCCTGCCAGGCCCTTCCATCCCTGCGGCCGATCGCTGCGCGGGGCCGCGGCCACTGCCTCCTTCGGCGGAGGCCACCGCCAAAGTGAGAACGGGGGTCGTCCGTGCACCCCCCCCAGGGCAGCCCACTTTGGACGGCAGTGACGGGCGGCTGAAATAACCCACCTACTGCGCTCCACCCTTTTTCGCACAGCGAACGGCAGCGGTCGGGGCGCGAAACCATCTGCCGCACTGCCCGCGCCCAGCCCCGCGCCAACATGGGCTATGGGGTCGGCGGCGCCACTCCTCCAGGGCAGCCCACTTGGTCGGCAGAGACCGGTGGCCGACATAGCCCACCTCCTGCGCTCCACCTCTTTCATAGCATAGTGAACGGTAG